CATATTTTTGTCTATTCTACGGGCGTCTTAAAAATCAACCTCAAAACTGTTTCGAATTCTTAAATGGGAAATTTGCAGATTTAGACCCCAACCTATATTTACTCATACTAATTAGTCCCCAACATTTAAAACTTATAATTCATCCCAACCTTTAGCGTGTTTGGCGTACTTGGTCCTTTTTCAAAGAAACCATCAATTTTGGGTGCTAAATCATGAGATGGTAGCCACATGCCAAATTAATTCAGAGATGGAACAATATCATAACTAATACTTATATTTTAATTAGAAAAATAAACAATAAAATAATTGAAAAAGAAAAAGAATTTCAATTCCTTATCTTTTCCACCCTGCACCTACCCCCGATCCGCCACCACACGATCAGCCACTACCTCGCTCATATCCTCTTCCAAATATGTTGAAATACGAGTTTCATGTGTTTCTTTTACACGAAACTGACATCAATCCTCAATAAGAACCAAGTATGCTCCAAATACGCTAAAGGTTGAGGATAGAAGAAATCAATTTTTAAGGTTGGGAACTAAATGTGCAATTTTGACTTCTTGAATTGTTGACCTAATGGACTATTATGGCCTAACATCCACTTGCCTTTAGAAAAAGAGCAATTCTATTTAGTTTCAATGTGATTACAACCACATATTAGGTGTTAGGTGCGTTGATGTGACATTAAATTTTTTATATTTTTATATTATATTAAGATTATGATTTTTGACTTTCTTCCATCATTAGATTATGCTTTTAGTTATGATACTTTCTAAGGTTTCCCACTTGTATTGAGAATTCTTCTTCATTCTAAAGCATAGTCTCAATTCTCAGTAAGATATTCTTAAGAATTATTAAAAATTTAGAAGGTTAATTGTTCCCTTGATTTTGTGTTTTTGTGTGCAAATACAAATTTTTTTGAAGGAAATGTTTTCTTGATTTTGGGTAATTTTTGGTTCGATGTGACTGAATGATATTAGACAGCCAATCATAGGACTTTGCTTTGATATTTTAATTACGCTGTCTTGTGTTTAATTACAAGAAGCCCTTTAATCATTTGGCTTAGTTAGAATTCATCATAGAATAAAATTTCTGTTAACACGCCCCTGCAAGATGTGACTCATTTGAGGCTTTATACAGATCAATTTTAAAATTTGTGTGCTCATTTTTTAGTTTTAATCGAATCGAATTATTCGTTGAAACTTAATAGGCTCTAATCATATTAAGGCTTGGGGTTCCACGTTAAAAGTTCAATATTATTAAGAGAATTTGCACAAACCCCTAAAAGTTTGTCGATATTTTCATCTTTATTTGACGTGAGATTTTTATCCCTCTGAATATCCATGACAACCTCTTAAATTGTACCATCATTCGCACGGACTCTTTTTGAATCCAAATCTTTATGTCGATGGAAAAGTTTGCTTGAGCCTAATCAACACATGGCCGTGGGAGAATGGACGCAAAATTCGACTATTCTTCAGGTTTTGGTCTCTATTCAAGGGCTCATACTAAAACGAGAGACCCTTTTTCAATGAGCCTATCATTGCAGGTGCCAAAAAAAGCAAGAGATCGATATGGATCAAGCAATCCGTGGCTTATAGCAATGCTCTAACTAATGCTAAATCAGCTAAAGAATTTTCTCGCTCAACATTTCTGCGAGCGTACAGATTCTATATTGGCAGCCGTCGAGGCTTACCAAGAAAATAATCTGCTGGTTGGTTCATGTTCGATTAAAACCTTCATCCACATTTAAGTCCAAATTGAGAAAGATTCAGTCGGACCTCGAAAAGGCATTTGATAGAGTACCAGAGCCGACATCAACACGGGCTCGTTAACAAGTTTACGATGTGTATTTGGAATAAAGATTAATCAAGTATTTGGAATAAAGATTAATCAACTGAAAGAAAATAGTTATGTAACGCCCCGAATTCTAATAACTCAGCGCGTTACCAAGAATGCATTATTTAACATTAATCTCTAAAAATACGAGATTTAAGAAAGTTTCTAAATTCGAATTTATTTACTCAAACTATATAATCATAACATTTTTTTTAACATATAAACTTAAAAAAATACGG